ACCTGTGGTTTCTTTTACCTTTTAAATCTGGCTTGGTATGTCAGATGCATTAAAATGTCTTACATTAAGCTTTATGTGAATACCAAGTAGTATAGGTTGTAGTTTTTCCCTCAAAACTACTGAATTTTCAAGTTTTTTGATGATAATATCCCGTGCAATTTACTGTTTCTAATGTACTTTCAGCGCCTGCTTTCATCTTGCCCATTCCTCCGTCAGAATGCTTTCGCCTATGTCTCTAGGTCCTTGTCACCCTTCCAGTCACACTCAGGTGTCGTATGTTCTGTTTGTTCTCCGCTGCGCCACCTTCCCCAGCTCTGACTCCAGCCAGGCCTGACTCATGTCCATATTTCCTTCTTAGCACATACACCAAGTACAATTATTTTCTTCTGACTCTTTATGCATACTTGTCTTCTGTCCTCCAGAATATAAATTTCATTCTTTGTGATATTCCCAGGCTCCTCATGAACTTCAAACATTCCTTTTTCTACATGAGTTAACCTGTGTTGTCTTCTTTTGCTCCCATCAAGAAACCGGAATGACAATGAAAATAGGTACTGCTAGTGGTTGCAAGTCACAGACACTGGGAAGTGGCAGCAGTTTGGGTGGTTGAGTGTCCATGTTTGTTTGTGCCTGTGGTTTAATCGGCAAACTCTTACATACTGCATCATACTCCAAGCACCTTTGCTTACATTATTTTACCTAATCCTGAGTATAGTCATGAGGCAGTTTCGTTGCTTGCTCCATCTCACAGGTAAGGAAAGGGGCACCTAACATTTCAACAGCCTGTTAAGGTCAGATAGCTGGGGAGTAGAGTAATTTCATTTCATTTGTACTAGAGGCAGGGGAAGTTCTGTTATTATTTAGTAGTCGGAGCCTGGTAGTTAATGGGAAGGAATCTTGAAGACTGATGGTCACCTGCAGTGGCTTAAGACTAGATTTTCCTCGCAGGGTAAGTTTCAGGGACACGGGGAATGGAGGACAGCAGGTCCTCTAGGTTGGGTGGGAACTTAAAATGACAACATGTAAATTTGCCTTTTGGATAAAGATGGGGATTAAAACTTGCATTCTAAGTTTGAACTGTCATAATTTCTTACACCTAGCAGCAATTATGATGAGCTATTTCTGAAATAAAGACACTATTTCATCCAGCCCAAACTTCTGTTCTTGCCAGGATTCCTACTGAAAATCAAGCTATAAAATTGGAAGACTGGAGGAAGGAGTAAGATCAACTACTTGAAATAATTCTCCAAAGATTCCCTTCAAGGAAATCTTGTGCTTCTGAATGGCCCAGTGGAAATCCTAAGGAAAAAAACATTTTGATAGGGCTGGAGAGATAGTACAATGAGTTAGGCGCTTGCCATGCATGCGGTTGACCTGGGTTCGATCCCCATCATCCTATGTGGTCACCTGAGCACCGCCAGGAGTGATTGCTGAGTGTAGAGCCAGGAGTAACCCCTGAGCTTTGCCAGGTGTATCCCCAAATAAAAACATAACAAGACAACAAACAACATTTAATAAGAGTTTGGGCGGCACCATATTTTGCTTTGCTTTATCACCCAAGATTAGGTGAATGCATTTTGTGTAAAATGGATAGCTCATGAAATGATCCTGCCTGTCGTTGAGAGCTGGGCTTTGGATGCGTAGCGTACCCTTCCCACTGGGGACGGGGCTTGAGAAGGAAGAATGTTTTCAGCTGAGCCCTCTATCCTGTCTCCTGCTCGGCGCATGAAGACAGTCATAGCCAGGGTTTCTCTCAAACTCTGCTGCTGTGAGCATGTGTCCCAGGATTGAGTGGTACACCTGGAATCATCCAGTTACTCTGAGGAGCCAAACTCAGCTTCTTGGGGTATGTGTGTATTCCTGAATGAAGGAAGGTTTTTATCATGAATAACATGAAAAATAACATGAATTTGCTATGGATATAATATACAGACTACAGAGTCTGAATATTTACTGTCTGACTCCCTCCCCAGCCCCCCTCCAAAAAAAGTGTGCCTGTCCCTCTGTTCTTCCATATTTATTAGGGGTACACTCAGACAGATTCTGCCCCGGAGAGTTACTCTGCAGGGAGTTGATTACATAGCCCCCCAGTTCTGCTTAGTTGGCACATTCTGCAAGAATTGGAATACGTCAAGAAAATTCTTGACCTATTGTTCATTAGCCTCTTATGACTTTAGGCTTTGTTTTTTAAGTGACATATATTTAATTGAGCTATAGATAAGAGTTACATTGCAAAAGCCAGCAACCTGCTTCTGGCGTGGATCTACACTTCTGCAGCGGTTGGCTAACTATTTATTTCGTGATTTTACTTCACCCACCAAGTCAGAAAACCACAGCGTCAAGAGTTGAGATGAAGTTTGTGGCTGGCCTTCGAGCCAGGCCCGACATTCGGCCCCCAGTCTTCACTCACTGAGCTTTCAGGGGATTGTCCTTGGTTGTCTTTTCAGAGCCTCCTACGCCTCGCTTTTGAAGCCCCCATTCCGGCCCTTTCCATCTGTGTCCCCCAGTCACTTGCTTGTAGCAGCAGTAAATGAGTGGCATCTCTGTCCCATGAGATTCTCAACATCCTCAGCAGCTTTATCAGTTTGTGGGGTTGCCGGGAGCCCAGGGCATCTTCCGAGGCAGCAAGGAACAGAACCAGCTGCCTTTTATTTGCAGGGTCTTTTTTTTGGAGGGGTTGGGGGAGAGGGCGGTGTATCCGCAAGTGGTGTTCAGGAGAGCTTCGGGCCCTTTCTGGCCATTCTCTGCCGACCTTCTGGCAGTGTGAGGACCTGACATGTGGTATCAGCATTTCCAGGTCACTCGGCTGCTTCCCAGGAGGCGCAGGGCTGCACCCGGCAGTGCTGGGGGACCAGGTGGTGCTTAATTTAACAGTAACACAAAAAAACACAAATCATCCTGTTATTCGTCGATTGCCTCGAGCAGGCCCCAGTAACGTCTCCTTCATCCTAGCCCTGATATTATATTCAAGGCTCTAATTTAACAGAAGTAGCTGGCTATCCTGTGCACCCCAGTGGTCCATCCCTCAGAATTGATGGTTCACTGGGAACAGGCAGGTCCATTGATTCGTTCCAGGCCAGCTGGGAAACGCTGTGCTCTTCCTCTTCCTCCCCCATAGTCCCCTGGTGCAGCCTGGAAAGGCCTTCTCAGATGGGGCCAGAAGCTGAGACAAGCAGGCAGGAAGCTGCATGGTCTCATGCAGGATTTGAGCCAGTGGAACTGTTATTAGTGTTGCCTTGAAGACAGACTTGGGTTTTTTGTTTTGTTTTGTTTTCTTGGGGGGGGGCAGGGTGTTGGGACTTGTCTAGGTTGGATGATAGTAACTAAATTGGTCACTTAGCAAATAAAAGCAGCTTCTCTTTATTATTTTTCCTTTAGAACTTTTTAATCAAGCACTGTAAATTTTAACTTACAAAGTTGTTCGTCATAATAGTTCTTTCAGATATTTCATGTTCAGACACCATTCCCACCACTCTTATGAACATCCCTCCACCAAAGTCCCAGTTTCCTACCCACCCCCACGTCTGCCCCCTTAGCAGGCTCAAAATAATTTATGTTGCTTGTTACAACATATACCTCACAACAGCGTCACTGAAGTCATTGTCTGAGGATTCAATGAGCCGCTTGGTGTTAGTTGAGCCCTCTGTGTTATTGGTTTGCATGTTGAGCCTAAAGACACGATTTTCCATGTTCCTGTTGTATTGTTGATACTGTGCAATTTGGAGATGTTGCGGCCGTGTGCTCTGGTAGTGTGGAACGGGGACGGTTCAGCAGCTTGGCATGTCTGAGATTAGTTGCCAAAGCAGCTTCTTTTGCTCATTTGTTCTCCTTTTCTGCTCTTTGTCAGAAGTCAGTTGGCGAAAGGTATGGTGTCTACCACACTTGATTCCGTGTTTGCATGAAAACTGTTGGAAGTTTTCTAGATGTTGAGTGTAGGCAGAAGCAGGCACGAACAAGTCCAGTGGGAGCCAGCGCAGGGGACACTGGGTTGGTGAGGCAGACGGACCCGGACACAGACACTGCTCCCCATGGCCCCTGGAGGGGAGACTGTGGCCCTGCACAGCAGCACTGATGGGTGGGCACACGGGAGCTCCTTGGCCTTGAGTCCAGGCAGCCACTGACAGCTCTTGCTGGGGTATGCAAAGTGTGGCAGGCCTTGAACTTGACGAGTAACTGGGCTAGTCAGAGAAACAGACTTGTACAAAGGAGTAGTTGTGCTTGGCATCAGAGATACTCTGCTTTGGGTATATGTTTTTGTGCTTGGGGTTTTCTCCCAGGAGTGCTGGGGACCATTTCGTGCCGAGGATGGGGCCCTGGGCGTGCATGAGGAGCCTGCACTCCAGTCTTTCCGCCATCTCCCTGATGACCCACACTGCTTTCCTCATGCCGCAGTCCAGCCCTTAGAAACGGCCCGCAGGGCACCTACCCCCCTGCTTGTTTCCATCTGTTCATTGAGCATGAATCTGAAACTGGGTAGAAAATTCCATCTTTGGGAGTTCCCCCTGCCCCCACCCCCTTGAAAGAGAAACTAAAGTCAAGTGGTAATTTTAAATAGATCAAACTGTAAAATTATGTGTCATATATTTTTCCGTCAGATGGCTTATGAAGTATTTTATTCATTCTCTTATCTACTAATGATTGTCTAGAACATCTCATTTAATTTTGCTATTTTTAATTAAATATTTAAATATTTAATTGAATGGTTAATTCCATGATTTAGAAAGTTATTGACAGTTGGGTTTGGGGCATACATTTCAACACCAGTCTCACTGCCAGTATCAGCTTTCCTCCACCAGCGTCCCCTATCCCGTACCCGTACCCGCACCCACCCTCCCTAGCCTGTGACCTTGACTGGCACATTCCAAAGTTCCGGTGGTTGTAGCTTACATCTCACGTTTTCCGGGTCATTGGATTACCAATGCAAGCCATTTCCAATTGTTGTAACGGCCACGTTCCATGCAGCTTCTTTACTGATGAAGTGCTGTGGCTTCTCTCCCCAGCACACGTCTGTGGATGGATACCCCGAGCCACATGTCCAGCCTTCCAAGTCAAGTAGCAGGCAGAACATCCCTCGGTGCAGAAACTCCATGACGTCAGCCACAGATGAACAGCCCCACATTGGGAATTACCGTTTACAGAAAACAATAGGGAAGGGGAATTTCGCCAAAGTGAAGCTGGCGAGGCATGTCCTCACTGGTAGAGAGGTGAGTTTTCCTGGTGACGTGACATCTCCGGGCTTTGCTTTTGTGTCCTCGAGCAGCCCGTGGTGGGGATAAGTGTCTGTAGCAAGACGAAGGACACTGGGGTTTGTGTGAGCGAGTGGAGTGCGAGCACAGGGAGCATAAAATGACTTGTCACAGCAGGAGAGGGAACTCTTGCCTGTTGGCATCTGTGACAAATCCATCACAGCCCAGGCGAACTTTCCCGAGGCTCCTGCCGCCCTCAAGTGCCATCTCTGCCTGTGCTGAGGCCCCAGGAAAGGTGGGACCCCTGCCTGCCAAACAAGGCTTTGGGCAAAGAGGTGAAAGGGGTAAAGAATCACCCTCTGGTTTCAGTGTGGAACCGCCTCAGCAGCTGATGTTGTCCAGATGCTCTTCTCAGGTTTCAGAGATCCCAGAGGCTGTGCATGGTGTGCACTCGTGCACTGGAAACGGGCATTTTTGGTAATCAATCAGTGTCCTCGATAACTTATAGATAGGCGGTAAAGAGGGCATGCTATTGCCTGGGACATTATGGGAAGTCCCAGTCATAAAACGTTTTTAGCAATATTTCATTGTGCCCCGTAGAGAATGTCCTTGTCACTGGTGGGTGGGTGTAGTCTGTGCCATTCTGATCAGGAGCACCTCAGACACGAACAGAGATGTGGGGGTCTTGCCATGCGCCTTTGTCAGGTGCCGGTAAGTAGCAGGAGTGTAGATCTCTCTCCACACATCATCATTTACTTGCACGAACTCGATGTGCCCATTCCTAAGACCCTCCTTAAGCATTGCTTATCAACATCATAAGCAAAGGAATAGATAGAGATGGTTTTTAATTTTAAAAGCAGAAGTGTGGAAGAAATCACAAAAAGTCATTTCATTGACTCGGAATCAAATGAGTTAAAAGTTTGGATCACAAAAGTAGAGAGAGATTATGGGGAATCATGTCTGCCACGGAGGCAGGGGGAGGGTGGGAAACGGGGGGTATACCGAGGATATTGGTGGTGGGGAATGTGCACTGGTGGAGGGATGGGCGTTTGATCATTGTGTGATTGTAACCTAAACATGAAAGCTTGTAACTATCCCACGGTGATTCAGTAAAATTAAAACAAAAAAGTTTGGGTCAATGGGATTCATTCTGAGACTGCCATAGTATCAAAACAGCCACATGGTTATGGTAAAGTTGAATCATCTATAGTGAGGAATCAAATAAGAGATGACTTTTTTTCTATGTTTCTATCTACAAAGTGTGTCTTAAATATAGTTTAATGGTTTTCTTTTTTAGGTGGCTGTAAAAATAATAGACAAAACTCAGCTAAATCCTACCAGTCTACAAAAGGTATTTAATTATTTTAATAGTAATAGAATGTAAATTTATTTTTTAATAAATGCTACTCTGTGAAGTCAGTTATGCTAAATTTTCTTAGTAAATACAATATTATATCCCATTAATATATGAAATAAAATGACATAAAATAATTTTCTGAGTAGATTTAATAATAACATTTATAAGATAGTTGTTCAAAAATACTATGCATGTGTATGCATAGTAAAGCTATATTAAAAGAATTTATGTCTTTTTTGTGGAGTTCTTGCTCAATTCAATCAGCGTAATCAATGGCTGAATAAATAGCAGTGCTCCTACATAAAAAAAAAGAATTTATGTCTTTTAATTCAGTAGAATTAAAAACTTGTATCAAATATTTCAACATATTCAGGATTTTGCTTAGTTATAGATCTCTGAGTTTATTTTGTCCATTGATGAGTTTCTGAGTTTTGGTGGTTTTTTTTCCCCCCTTTCACTTGCTTTTCTTTGTCTTCCACAAGAACAGTAAAAAAGAGAGAAGAGGGCTGGAGTGATGGTACAGCGGATAGGATGCTAGTCTTGTACACGGCTGACCTGGGCTCAATCCCTGGCATCCCAGATGGGTCCCCGAGCCCTTCTAAGAGTAATTTCTGAGTACAGAGCCAGGAGTACTCCTGAGTATCACCAAATGCGGCTCAAAAACAAAAGAACAAAGAACAGTAAAATATATGAGCATTTTTCAAAGGTTGAAAATATAAGCAGTAGGGGAGAAAGGAAGGGCTGTTAGGTTGGGTGTTATGAGCACCTTAGAAATGCAGTAGATAGTCTGACATTTATGGCATGTGATTAAGTTTTAAAATAGATTATAAGTGATTTTGTTAAACTATTATGAATCACTCACCATGTATAAATGTGACGTAAATAATTTGGGATTTCGAAAACAAAGAATTTTTTTACATTTTATTTTAAGCAACGTGGTTTACAAAACTGCTATTGTTAAGGTTTCACATATAAAAATCCCAGCAGATTTTTGTTAAGGTTTCATGTACAAAATTTGTTTCATATATAAGATTTTGATATGTATTTGATACATAAGACCTATTCATTTATCTAAAATTTTGCGAAGGTTTATTGTTGATGTTTCATATATAAAACTCCCAGCACCACACTTCTACCAGGGTATCCGACATCCTCCACCGTGGTCATAGGGTCCTGCCCGTGTGCTGTCCCCGCCCCTCCCGGCACCCTCCCCATTCCTGCGTGTGGTGAGCTTCCTACCAGAAACCAGTTCTCAGTTTCTGTTTCCTTTGTGCATCTAAATCTGAAAATCTTGTAAGAAGTTTTTAATAAGGTGGGTTTACACCTGCTCTGATTCTGTCCTTAAATATAAAATGAGTGTGTGAATTCAGCACTTTCTGCCCGGCCCCATCTCCAATAACTCAATGTATTCAGTATATTTCTACCTGGAGACCTGTCTTTTTCGACAACTCATTTGCTTCAGAGCATTGTTACTTCTCAGCAGTAGAACACATTTGCAGATAATTGTTTTTTTTTCTGTCTCTGAGTATACAATCTTACTATCTTTTATGGACTTCCTCAGGGAGAAACTTGGAACTCAGACTTCCAGCCAGTCATGATGTAGTTCTATGAGCTCCAGAAAGTCATTCCTTCCTAGGCAGGCCTGTTCAGAGTTGCTGGTGTGTGTGGTTTCTTTTCCCTAGGGCCAGAGCCATCCTGGGGCATATTTTTGCCTGCCCCGTTGCTGGGAACCTTGTGCTAACTGTGCTAACTGTGCAACTGTCCACAGCCAACTCAGCATTTCCACTTTTCATGCATTAGGCTGTGGCTTGCTCTGGTACATGGGTTTAAGTGGCATTTAGATGTACTCTGGGCCAGTTGTACTAGCTGGGTACTTCTCTCTCCCGCTTTCTTTTCGAAGGAGCTCAGAGAAGTTGGGTGTAGGACCAGAGTCTTACTTGTTGTAACATGCAGACATGGAGTAGAATGTTGCTGCATTTGACTAGATTACTAAAAATGGCACATTATGATGACAAGTAATTTCTGTTGTAAATCCTGCTGATATCATCGACAAGGTGTGGCTTTTCCAGATAGCTATGGATTTCTGGATGGATTTATGGATTTCTTCATGGAGAAACTTATAAACCAATCATGATGTAGTTGTGTGAGTCCCCAGACAGGCATAGAAAGAGTGACAACAGTTTTGTTTTCTTTAATCTGTGAAAATTTAAAAATAAAAAGGGAAATTTACTTAATGCAGTTAGGTACACCCTATGCAGATTGTTGTCCCATTTCAAATATCTGGCACCATTTTGACTGGAATTGCTTTTGAATTTTCAGTGAATAAAATGAGCGAGAGTTCAACCTATAATTTTTTCAGTCCATAAATATACATATGTGTTTGTGTTTCATGTAAAAATATTTGTACATGTTTTTCCATTAATTTTATCAAGAATTATCAGCTACTCTGGGATACTATTATAAATGATATCAATACAATTTGTATTTTTGACTCTATAAGTAGTACAATTACTAACTGTAAACAAATTACCTAATGACTGTAATAAATGCATTTATAGGGTTTCAGGACTGAATCTCCAGTCTGCATGGCGGTAGAGGACCTTGGCTGTCCCTCCCCGGGTCCCTGCTCACCCAGCAGACTGGCTGTCATGACCACAATTTGCCTCTGAGCTCCCTCTTAGTGCACCAATAGCCCTAGCCCAGAGGCTCCCAATTGAATCCCAAAATGTATTAGTGCCATACAGAGATGTCTCTGGTACCCGACCATTTGCAATCTAGAAATTTACGTTTACAATCGCAGCCATGCGAGCTCTCGTGATACTCAAAATGAGCTATGGAAAATAAATTATCTAGCATCTCCCCCGGCAGGTAGGCTTGAATGGTGGTGGAAAATTTTGAGCAGAACCTAATGCCCAAAATTTGAAAGTATTGGGGAAATTGTCTGCCATAGAGGCAGGGTGAGGACTGGGATGTGGGTAGTGGAAAATGTGCACTGGTGGAGGGATGGGTGTTTCATCATTGTATGGCTGAATCTCAAACGTGAAAACTTTGTAACTCTATCTCATGGTGATACAATTAGAAAAAAAAAAAGCAACGTGGAGTTCATGCCCAATTCAATCAGCTTAATCAATGGCTGAATAAATATCAGTACTCCTACATTATTAAAAAAATAATAAATAAATAAATGCACTTATAAATCGAGTGCATTTTCATCATGTAAAGGTCCCGAGGCAATGCGGGTTTCCTTCTTCCTCTCTGCAGTGGCCCAGGCTCAAGTGTCAGTTTGTGGAGTCAGGGGCTAGCTCTGGCCCCAGGGGCTCTCTGAAGCATCTGGTTCAGGGGAGAGGAAAGCACATCAGCCAAGTCCCTTTGCCCCCGCTTCCCGCATCTGAACTGTGCCATCAGCAGCTATGTCCTTGGCAGTGCTGTTGGGCACAGAGACTGGGCGTATCAGTGATGGTGAGATGACGCAGTAGCAGCTGGTATCTCACAGCCCCCCAAAGAGGCCACTGGCCTCACCACTCTATTATTGATTTGCAGTACTAATCACAATTCACAAGATTGGCCCAGGGGTTCAGAACTGGGTTACTGACAAATAAAACCTGGGAAGACAGTGGAAATGGGGCCACTGCCATGAGAGGTGGTGTTGTTACATATTGGAGAAGGTAGCCCGGGTGGCCAGTGTCTGTTCTATGGGAGAAATTTTGCACTGAGCAAAAGTGTACAAACCACTTCAGTCATTGGTATCTGAAAAATGAGACCTCATGAGTGAGCGAGCGACTGATCACAGTGTCTATTGTGTTACCTGTTGTACAGAATCTTGCAGGTGATCAGGGGGGTGGGCAGAGAGATAGTACAGCAGGTAGGGCTCTTCACAGTGATACACACAGCCAACCCAGGTTAGATCCCCAGCATCCCAGAGGGTCCCCCAAGCACCACCAGGAATGATTCCTGAGTGCAGAGCCAGGAGTAAGCCCTGAGTATTGTCAGGTGTGGCCCCAGACAAACAAAAATCTTGCAAATGATGACCTTGCAAATTTTTGAGTTTGGAGCTGGGGAGATAATATAGCCGCTAAGGCACTTGCCATGATGCACTAGCCATGCATCACCCAAGTTTGATCCCCAGCACTACATGTGGTCCCCCAAGCCTCCAGGAGTGATCTCTGAGCACAGAGCCAGGAATACACCCAGGGCACAGCCCAGTGTGCTGTCTCAGCACACCCCCTCACAAAAACAAAAAAAACTTCAGTGAGTGTTCAGATACAGCCTAGAGTCCCTTTTTTGCTAAGTTCATAGAAACTTGCAAACATAAGCAGAGTAATCAATGTCATATGGATGAATGTGGTCACTCAAGGTAGAGCAGAGGACAGAACTTTGGTTTTGAAAGTGTCAGCAAAATTCAGAATTAAATTTCTGTTGTAAGTGACTAAGAAACCAGACTTGTAAAACCGATCACAAAATCATTGTCAAGGATAAAGCCAGTTTTGGGGTTTTGGTTTTTGGTGGGGCTGGGACCTAGTGAGGCAGCATTTAAGGCTCCTCCCTCCTCCCTCACCCCCCAGCACTGCGAGGTGGCCTGGGTGTCCCCAGCACTGCGAGGTCCCCATGGCATTGCACCCTGGGATCCTTGTCCAGAGCCACCAGCGTGGTTGGCTGAGGATGGCTGGGGGTTGGGGTCTCGGACCTCCAGGTACCCCTGCTCCCCCAGACCCCAGGCAAAGCTCTTTGGGCAATACTCTTTGGCAGCTGTTTCTGCAGACATAGGTTGCAAGTGTGACAGAGGATGCTTTCTGCTGGACTGAGCATCCAAGCCACCGCCCTCCCAAGAAGCACTTCTGGCTAATTCTTTTCATGGTGGGGCTCATTCGAAGGAACCATCTTGATTTATTTTATGTGTCTGTGTCTGAATCAGTGGCAAACCTAAGAGAATAGAGAAGGTCTGCTTTTTGGGAGCTAGGGTGCATGCGAAGAGGCTATCTCAGAAGCAGTGATGG